ATGCAGAGCCACGCTGAACCACACAGGAGAAAACAAACTCCTAAAACTCCATAACATCCTGATAGTTCCTAACATAACCTCCTGAGAATCTCTTTGTATGAGTCTTATCTCTCTCCTTCTATTGATTCACAACTTGACTCAAGGTTGACTCAGCCTTCCATCCTTCCGAGGTGGGTAAAATGAGGATCCAGATTGTTGTTGGGGGCGATATGCTGACTCTGTAAACCGCTTAGAGAGGGCTGAAAGCCCTATGAAGCGGTATATAAGCCTAACTATTGCTATTGCTATTGTTTAAAATGAGGACTTGTGCTATGAGGACCTTTCCCCAGAAAAATATAAGTAACATTGAACCATGTGATAAGCAGATGATCAATATGGTATTTGCAATATACACAGAACATTTGTACCAGTGGGGTTTTATTGCATCCAACTGGTCACTAATGCTGGCATAATTTGGGAACTCAGGGCAGTGAAAGCCTGGCACAATTTCTATGAAGCTAAGTAATAAGAGCTGCGGTGGCGCAGTGGTTAGAGTGCAATACTGCAGGCTACTTCTGTTGATTGCCGGCTGCCTGCAATTTGGCAGTTCGATTCTGACCGGCTCAAGGTTGACTCAGCCTTCCATCCTTCTGCGGTTGGTAAAATGAGGACCCAGATTGTTGGGGGCAATAGGCTGACTCTGTAAAACTGTTTAGAGTGCTGTAAAATGGCATATACATCTAAATGCTATTGCTAATACAATTTCTGTGGCCAGAAGTGTAATTACAGAGGTATGTGGCTTTCATGTGTTCCTCATCTTCACTCATGGCAGTGGTATCCACACTTCGGCACATGTTATGTGGGCAACAATGCCATAATGTTTAATATCCTTTGGACATCTGTCAGTAAATGAGACCAAAACACTCCCAGCTGTACAAAAACAGGATACGGTAAATACTGTCTAAAGACAGAGTAATCTGTGTCTATGCGTGTGCACAGACGTTCATGTCCATGTGTACTCAGACATATAAACAAAGAACAAAAATGCTTAGTGTGCTAGGAGATCTCTGTAGATACAACCACACTTCGTAAGATGCTGTATGAAAATATCAGCTTCTACCTCTTAGGTTAAACTTCTCGATAGGTTCTCCGTGTTCAGCTTCTTTGCTTTTAAAGTAAGACATGGATGTGTCTTTAAAGACAAACCAATATTGCTTGAAGGCTTTCAGGACCAGCTTTTTGGATCTGCAAATGAAGAATTGCTTCATCAAGTCTCTGTTCTAATGAGGAAAACCAGTCAATCCTTTTGGCCAAGTTTTATTTCCCATCCATATATATAAAAACAGATGTGTTTGTGTTCCAGCATAACTCTGGAATGCCTCAAGCAATTTCAACCAAACTTGGTACACATATGACTTACCCTCTGGAGAAAAATACTGTGGGGGTAAGATGCCCCAACACCCCTTGGTGTGCGTGTTCTGTTAAGATACAGCCAGTTGTGCCTTAAAATGACTTCTACTGTACTGCTGTAAAATGGCTTCTACTGTGCAGCACAGTGGAGTTGCCATGATAATGGCTTCACAGTACTCCACAAGGGGGCTCCCTCTGGTAAGGGGNTTCATATACCGCCCATGTAGAACAGTTGGTGTGCTTCTTTAATGCTAAAAAAAAACAAAAAAAAACCTCCCACTGTATGGATCTTGAGGTTGCAATGTTGTACATCTCTGTCACCAATGTGACTGAGTAGCTCTAATGTAACTGAGATGGGGCTTTTTCCAGCTGTATTAATTTGCTGGGGATACTAGCATTTGCTTCACTTGCTTGGTGCATGCAAAATAGGCACCATATCACTATGCAAAAAAAACCACATGTGTACATATGCAGAATATCTCAGGGGTTTGTCATCAAGGAATCTGCTCTACGTTTGCTGTGCAGAAGCGCCAAGTGGATTCCCACTCTGTTTATCGTGTGGTCCCAGCGCATGCCAAGGATATGAGTGTAGTCAGGAAATTATAAATTGTGCAGAATCTCTGCATTTAGATGAAAATGAGTCAGTAGGCTTTTTCATTGCTCTTCTTGCCAGTGACATCTAACCAGGAGAGTATTTTTAATTTGATTACCACTCGAGGTCAGAGAAGATAATGCACGCAAACAGGGGGAGGGGAGGACGCGTTCCGAGAAAGTGATCTGGCTTTTCATTGTTGCTTCTTTAAAAAAGAAAAGAAACAAAAGACCTGCCAGCGATGGGCTGTGATCTAAATGAGCGCGAGGGTAATTGAAAGGAAGTTGGAAAGTTGTATCTCGGCTCGCTGAATCAAATTCCTTGGACAGAAGGTCACAGATTTTAAGTCTAATTGAAACCATTAATGATTGCAAAGACATCCACAAGGATTTTATAATGCCTTTATAATTATAACCACTTTATAAAGCCTTGGCAAGGCCACACATGGAATACTGCATCCAGTTTTGATCGACACGATGTAAAAAAGATGTGGAGACTCTAGAAAGAGTGCAGAGAAGAGCAACAAAGATGGTTAGGGGACCTTGGAGGTC